ACTTTTACGAGAACGCTAAAACAATGAGTGAGACCGATTATATATACATGAAGATTGTAGATGCCTACTACAATATATATTCTTTGTAAAAACTAGCTCTACACGACAAATAAAAACATCTGATAAAGCCAGGTAAATGATAAACATGATAAGATGATAACAAAATTCTTACTCTTTATTTGTTATTAAAAACATCAACCTAGAATCACCGAAGAAAAACATGTTCGTTTCTCTTCTACTGTTATCTTGTTAGAATTTTAATCTTGAATAATCATGTGACATTCTTTAGTTTGAATAGAATAGTGATGCTCCGTGCGGTAGTCCCCATGTAAACACCAGACGCAAAATATACGCGTGCAATCGCGGTTTTGTTGTAAACCGCGTGCAATTGCGGTTTTGTTGTAAACCGCGTTCAGACGCGGTGAAAATCGATTTTCACTGCGCCTGAACGCATTTTCATTTAGAAGCACGTCTAGACGCAGCTGAAGAAAATTTTTGAACGCATCTCGACGCGATTATAAATGAAAACGTGTTTAATAAAAAAATATTCAAACGCGACTGGTTGCAGTTTGAGTTAGAGCGCGCCAAGACGCGGTCAGATTAAATTCTGAGCCGCAGCTCAACGCGTTTTTTTATGAAACCGCGTTTGTACGCAGGTAATAAAAACTGCTTACATACGTCTGAATGTGACTTTACAGGAAACTGCGTCCGTACGCGATTGACCAAAAACTATTTAAAGGAAGACATCAAATTTTATTATCTGCATTCCGGTCACACTTGGCAAGAATAGAAAGAAATGTTTAGTTTCTAGGTTTAGATACTTCATGTATAAGAGAAGGATATTTTTATCGCAACACGAATAAATTTCTTTAGAAACTTCACTTTTTAGTGTATCAAAAAAGTTATACGAATGACCATTAGCATAATGAGACTATCTCTCTACTCAGCACTATTTCTATCAATCGATAGCCTGTTTTCAAAATAGGTGATAAATATAAACTAGTTTTGCATCAAACCATAGATCAAGAAGTCTGCTCTAAAAGACAAAAGAGAAAATTTATCTTCACTTTTTGATCAAAGAAATCTTTTTGAAATTTAAATTATAAATTATGTACTCAATTTGAACTTTGTTTGAAGGATAAAATATACTTTGTCATAAAATAATTGTACTTCTAGTGTTTAAATGTTGTAAGTGGCATAGTGTTCAGTTCATTTTGAATCATGTGTGTTGTTTTCATTTTATATTGTTACGGAAGTAAGATACACAAGAAAATATTCAAACTCAAATAGAAAATCTAATAGACAAATCACTTTTCTACATTTTCTCGACATATAACATCGTCTCTACATTACCCATCGCGTGCACATAAGAAACAAAATTGCAAACTATACACTTAGTGCTCTACTAACGTGTATATATTAGCTAAAAACTCAAAGAAGAAGACAGTTTAGAAATTAAAAATTATCTTTTTATATTAACGTGATTTGAAGAAAAGCTTTGCTAAATGCTCTTTTATATAATAAAAAAGGAAAACGAAAAAAGTGAATGATATTTGATAAAATAAAATAACTATATAATCAGTTCTAAAAGATAGGCAGCATTTAATATTATAAGTAATAGTCTTTTACAACAAAATAAATGAAAATCATTTGCGAAAGGAAAATTTTTCAAAAATTTTAAAGAAATTTTAATATATGCAAGTTTATTTTCATACAAGAATATGAATACTATAATATCTGGTGAAATGCATTCTTATTTTTCACAACCATCTTATCTCCCACTGCTCGTCTGAATGAATACTTAAGAAAATAACATTTTTGTCAAAAACTTTCAATAATCATTCGATGTTCGCATGCTCCCATTATATAAAAAAATATGATTTAACTATCCATATAATTCAAGAAAAAGAAGACATAAACATACTACTAATCAGTAGTGAAAAACTTATAACAAACTTCAGATATTCTTATTATCAAACTATATTAAAACAGTCAAATTTTATTATCGACAAATAAAATTTCTCGTCTATAAACGGATAATATCACTTAAGAGTTAAGTACTTGAAAAAATATTAAAGTTGTTATTGACAAACTATTTACTGAACAGTTTATATAACTATATTTAATTTTGCCTAAAACCCAATTTTGTCTGACATATGTTTTCTCTTTTGTCCTACTCAAGTTCTTAATGATGAACTCTATCTGAAATCAGTAAGGTCATCTTTTCTTGAGATATCTGGAGAAAAATTTACGAATTTTCTTAACAGAAATTCGTACAAAAAGCGAAAATGCAAGGAGTTTATTTCACACGATAGCAGTATTGTTCTCGGTAGCTACTGTATGATAACTAGCTCTTACATATTTGATTCCTTGCATATTTACAACTTTAAAAAAAAATTCTTCAACATTAATTTTCTAATCAACTTAATGGAAATATTTAAAAAGGAAAACTATTAGATACGAATCACTGCTCTATTCGATCTATTTTAATAAAAAAATTATTCTGATCGAACTCAAATTGAAATAGAAAACAAATTCATTACTGAGCTCAAAGTAGATCAGACACCTAACTATGCTATTTTTTGAAAACCGTACAAAGAATGTAAATTCGATTGACTTCAAACTTTTACCGATCATTCTTCTATGTGCGATCTATCGTTGGTCACAGCAGCAAACCACGTCAATGAGTGTAGGTGGTATTAAGCCAAGATGATATTTGGAATCAGTTCGTCGAATTGCATACAATCTAGGGTGTGGAGTGTGAATGTGTGAGTGGATTTGGGTGTTAGTGGGTAAGTGTGGATGTATGCCTTCTTTTCACCTACACCTACACCCTAGTTTTGAACGAAATAACAGAAGTTTTTCTGCTAATATATGTCCTTGTCTGTGTGCATTCACGTATCTAAATGTAGTCGAGTATGTGCAAATTAACTGTCTTATCTGATTACTACTTTCAGTAGCAGCATCACTGAAATGGCGCATTCCAATTATAGACATAGTTCGGTGTGATTTATTTTAAGCTAGAAGTTCATCTAAACGTGTATTTTTATAGATGACGGTCTGGCAAGTGACATTGTTGGTTGAATGGCCAGTAACCATACTGATTTTTAGTAGAATCTTCAAGGAGTCTGGTGCGTTTTCACGCCAGTGTCGCGAATATATTTTCCTTGGTGATTCTCTCAATAAATTGAATGTAATCTCTCTTTTCTCGGTTACATCTGAATACTACTATCCTAATGTAGTTAATTTAGATTTCCATTGGGTATTTGTGTGCGAGTGTCAGTTGGATTGGATGAATTAATGATAAAAAGCATCACAGAAGTACGCATACCATCATGCACAAAGACACTGATGTGAATATCAACATCCACATTCGTATCCACCCTTTTTCAAACGTTGGATACTAGTTTTGTCGAAGTTTATAAAGCAGTATATAATACTAAAAGAGCCAAATATTTAGTTGAGAGTCAAGCGAGTTACACGAATGAGCGTTACTTGTGATGTTCCTGGATCAAAATCTTTGAACGGTTGGATAGAACTCGTCAAGTTATATTAGGAAAAGTTGTTTCAAATTTACTCAGAAAATTCTACAAAACCTGAAGTTCCAGTATATCTTCTCTTCTATCTCAAAATACCGATATTTTGAACTTTTTTTCGTAAAGTTTTCTGAGTGGTCTAGAAATATGACCTTGTCCTATGTAACTCGTCGAGCTCTATCAAACCATCATCATACATAATAATAAAAAATCTTTCAAAATTTTGAACTGTATACACCATACATACACGGTCGACACTTTAAAGTTCAAAGATCTCAATCTAGGAACGTTACGAGGATGTCATATTTTAAATTTATTAGTCTGCCAATGAGACCTTCAATTTAACTCAAATATGTTCAATATCCTTGAATTACAGCACAGAGGTCTTTATTGTAACATAAGAAAAAAAAACTCGTCTATTGACAGAAATTTCATTTTTTGTCTTTTCCTAATCTTTCTTTTCTTCTTTATATTTATCACAACATTTATAGTGCGATAACCTCGAGAGTAGAAAGTATAATATAACAACTAGGTAAAACGGTTCGCTTCTATACAGGGTATGAGTGGGTTTGAGTCTGCATCTCAGTGAGTATATAGATGAAGAGAAGATCAATACTCAAACATAACCTCCGCATCTTTACACTCAAGCTACAGTCGCAGACATATCCTACTCATGGTAGTGTACATGTAAAAAGACCATACTCAGGCAGTGAATCAAGTACGCTGTAATCCATAATAGTTATTGAAAATAATCATCGAAGTCTCACTCAGATACTATAAATCTGTCGTTCAGAGACATAGCAAAGCACTAGGAAGAAAACGCGGAAATCTTTGTGCTGAGTACTATAATATTGTTCGTCTATTTAAACTGAGTTGAAGACGAAATTTATAATGGTTCACATGGTCTAAGTCCTTACAAATTTCATCAATTGACTGATAGTTAGAAAGTAGCTTTGCATTCAAGCAAAGTTTAGTGATGTTCTGAGTAATGTGGTAAATTCGTTTCAACAGTGAAAAGATATAATATAGTAGTAAATAATGACAACCGGTAGTGGCGCTATGAGTGTTGCAATCTCTCTAGCCTTAGATCGTCAATTATTGGAATGATATTGGATATCGAATCTTTTTGTAGCTAGAATAGAATGGCAAGAGGAATTTAAATGATAATATATTTATTTCTTTTATTGTTGTAAAATAAGAAGAAATTAAGCATTAATTAATTCAAACAAATCACTATTAAAATCTAAAATAAATTGCCGACATATCATATGCGAATCGACTCGATTGTTATTATTGTTGCAAGAAGAGTCACAATTAGAAAAATGATGTATCAATTTGATTATCATAAAAGAATCTAATGTGTTCTTCATTCCTCAACCTTCGATGAGGCTTGATTTGCACAGGACTTGCGTTATCAGTCCACAAGAACTTGTTCAAAAAAGTTGAGAATGTTCCACTTCGTACAAGAATAGCATTAAGCGGACCAAGCTTTGTTGAACTTCGACTATTTTGATAATTTTGGTTCGCTTTGCAAAGTTCTTGTTCGACTTCTGCATTGACGGTATTCTTGAGAATTTGAAGTTGTTGTGCATCAATCTTGTGTTCTTGATCTTCAATCAATTCCAGAAAGATGACGTATTGAGCCGGAAATACATCTAATCTTGGATACGACGCAAATTCATAAGAGTTAACTGGTATTCCTTGTTCTCGCCATTGCCAAACAGTTTGTTGAAGAGCATTTATCAAATGTTGTTCATTTGTTTTCTCGCCAAATACACTCAAAAGAGTTCCAACACGATATGCAAGTGAAATAAGAGGAATTCTTGGAATCTCGATTGGTTCTTCTGGTAATGAAACCAAGTCATCGGCTCGACAAAGAAATCTCGTGCAATTGATGACATCTCCCATTCTGTATCGAACCAATCCGGCATGGGTTGTGCAAACCAATTCATATCGATGTCCGGGTTCGAGCTCTGAGATAAGAAGAGTTTTTGGTTGAGCCTGAACAAGAATTAGCATAGTGAAAACGGAATAAAAAGGTATAGCTAAAGATAGCGATATAGCTTAGATTTAGAAGATACCATGAGATCTCTGCAATGTGTGGATGTGAATGGTGATGAAGGAAAAGTTATGGGGTTCTATCCAATGTTTGTTTGTGGGTGTGGTCTGAGTTTCTCTGGTTCCGGTGTGTATTATGTTATGTGTTGTTATGAGTTTAAATAAGAACAAACTCACTCACACTGACGTCAAGACTGTTCAAAATTTTATTAAGCTAACCTTCTCCAGTGAGCTCTGAGAATTCCATGCATTCTGAAAGTTCTGTGCATTATGTGAGTTCCACAATTTCTGAAGGTTATGTGAGTTTCAGGATTCAGTGGATCCGATGAGTTCTTTGGGTTCCATGAGTTCTGTGTTTTTTTTTAATTCTGTCGATTCAAAGAATCCTATTACTACCATGAGATCCGTGCGCTCAGTGGGTTGTGTGAGTTCCCAGAGTTCCCTAAGTTTCTGGGATTCCGTTAGTTGTTTAGTTCTAGTGAATTACATGCGAATTATAAACTTCAAGAGTTTCAGGAGTTTAGAATTCATGGAATGCGATCACGTCTAATTCTATGCAAAGTGGCAGCCGCTAAAACACTGTTAGTGATGCTAAAAATCAATCAATATACTACGATTTAGTAAAGCCTGCACTTGAAAAATTGTCATTAACAATAGGAATATTCCCATGCTCAATGATAAAACATTCGTTTGTTTCCACACTTTCATCGATGCTTACTTCTTCAACATTTACTAGGAGTTCTGTTGCGTTGTAACACTGGGGCTATCTTCAAGCTATGTAACTAGGTGAATACTTTCCTGCAGAAGAAACAATTAGAAAGTAAAACTTGATTACATGAATACGAACTCAATCATGAGTCACTCATTCTGTGATGGAAACGTATAACTCAATCAGCTTTCATCAAAATCAAAGGAGAAGGTTGTATGATTCAAAAAGCAACTCTTCAAGGTTACTCTTGGCTAGTTTTCAAGCAAGAATTCATATCATTTCGATTCTTCAGAAAAAGTAAAAGAAAGCACTTCAATTGATGCGCGAATTAATGAGATGAAGAACATCCAGACTTTTTTTCAAAAACTAATACTTTGCGAAACGAAATCGGCTTCTCGAGTTTTCTTTGACCACTCTTCATGAAAAGTTTCCATTTAATTTATAAACAATAAATATTCTTGCTCAACTAAATGTGCTCTATTCTGAAGAAAACGTAAAGTGAAAGCTTTATTTAAAATTTGAATTTCAATCGCCTTACTTGCTGAATATCTTCTTCTTTGATGAATTCGAAGAATACATTTGTTGGTAATAGAAGATACTCGTCAGTGTGAATACTTGCGATGACACCAAAAAATCCTTCACTTGCACCATACGCGAGTAGATTGATCAATGGTAGCCGTTCTCCACAACAGAATTGTATATCGGCCTTGTACATAGCAAAAGTGCTTCCTATCGCCGTCGAAACATAAAGCAGAGATGGCCAAAGACGATGAAGAATACCGGGAGCATTCTTTTTTAAACATTCATTTCGAATATGTTGAGCTCGTTCCAATCGATATATCTCTCCTCCATGCTCAACTATTACTTCGTTCAATCTTTGATTCAAGGTCGATGTGACGTCCGAATCAGAAATATTCTTTTGAACGAGTGAACTATGATCAAAATTGGCAGTCGAAATACAATGACTGATTTCTTCAAAATAATTTTCAATGAGCCTGATGGTGTGCATGAATCCTGGAGCAAAAACGACTGTGTATGAGTAAATATTCAGATTTGCAAGTGCAAAAACAAGTTGAACGAATATACTTGTATCGAAATCAGTAATTCCTTCAATAGTATCCAGTGCTAAGATATTATCAACAGACACCAATGTATGAGTTCGAGGAGAGGATGCAATAGCTGACAAATATTGACTAACGGGACCAATTGGTGTGCCATCTTTTGATCTTGGAAACATCTCAGACTTCCTCCCACTTTGCAACAAGAATGATCGTTGTTTAAGAGACCGATTTGATAAAGAAGGCAATGATCTCCGTATAATATGAGATCCCAATCGTCCTGATTCGTCAAGTTTATTCATTGTCATCGAAGTCACAGGAAGGAGTTTGATCTTTGCCGTCGTTCCAGAACTTGTAGCAAAATAAACTATGTTTTCGGATGACAGCAAGTTCTTCTCTCCGTCGAGAACCATTCGATCAATATAATCACGATAGTCTTCATAAGTTGTTAATGGAACTTTTTCTCGAAACTCATCTATCGATGCATACCCATCTTCTCTCGAAACAGTACTGTGCGTCGACAAGCATGAAATTGATCGATCCATAAAGAATGCACATGAGTGATTCTTCTGAAGAATTTCTTTCAATAGTTCATTGTTAGTAGTTTGAAAATTGCAAAGTGAATTTTGATAATACGACACTAATAGATCCGTGTCCAATTCTTGCAAGTTTGAATCCATTAATTTTTGAAGTTAAATAAGTTACTCTGACACGATTCCTGAATAGTGTATAGAAGAGAACTGTTTTACCTGGTTATTAAATTATACTTTGTGCCCTTCAGATTTTCATGTCATAAATATTGTAATAAATACAAAGAAGAAAAGAAAGATTAGGAAAAGACAAAAAAAAGAAACTTCTGTCAACAAATGAGTTATTTTATCTTAAACGTAGTAATCTTTTCGTTGACGCTTCAGTCTCTAGAGCATCTCTTATCAAGTAAAGGATCGAGATACAGCTTGCAGGCAAAATTCGACTAGAACAACGAAAAATGAGCGGTAAACTCTATTTTCAAGATATGATTAACCCTTTCAGTACTGGCGTACTTTATAAAGTACGGTTTTTTCGAGTTTCGTAATCTTTGAATAACTCGTGAATACAAAGAGATATTGAGAAGCGGTTTTCTCTATTACATAGAGAAGACTTCGGTACATATATCTATATAAGAGTTTTAATCCTAATGAGATCCCTCAAGTAGTAAGCCTGATGGATTTTTGGAACACCACCTGTATTCTAAAAACCTTGTTCGCCATCCCCGTAGGAAGGTATAGGCATGGGTCGAAAATGACTCTGAAGGTTTTTTAAAAGGTTTTGATGAAAATATTCACAACACACACTGCCCATATTAAATATAAAGTCTCAAAGAAATTTCATCCATTGGCTAAGCCATAGACCTGAAAGGGTTAAATTGGTCATTTTCTTGGATGGAAAGATATGAATAGTAAAACAAGAAATTTTCGAGGCAAACGGTGTTAATTTCCAAGTTGTCGAAAACGAATCCAGCACGTATGGCAAGAAATGTCAAGTTTAGCTTTGTTATACTGAAACTAATCATTTTCAATTATATCATCAATTAGAAGAATCGATCTTCTAAACTCTATTTTCACACTATAATAAATGATGGTTTACGAACTAAATGTAATTTTTGTATGCTTACGATAATAGTATCATTGTATCCATTTTGAATGTGGATGTGAGTTAAATGATTTTTGTGAAAACCAGACTCTTGATAACTTGGATGAGAAATTAATATCAAACCGGCGTGTGCGCTGTAGATCAAGACAAATGCTAGCGAAAAAGAAAAGTTGAGATTTCTTTTAATTTTCTTTCCTTTCTTACACTATAAATGTTAAATTTCTCCCCTATGGTTGAAGTCGGTTTCAAAGCTGTAGCAATATAGGAAGCAATTCTTTAATTAAAATAAAAATCGCAAGATATAGACGAATATGACATATCTATTAACGATTCAAACACTAGTTGTTCATATAGTAAGCGATAGCTTCAATTGTATTCATCGACTAGTGAGACGCTCTATTAGACTTCAGTGAAATGATGCTACTTGGCTGTCGATTCCTAATCTACTAGTGAACCTATCGGACTATTATCTTGTCTGACCAATGCTTAATCTCGGCTGGATTTGGTTGAACGGCAAGTACTGAGCACTTGAGTTTCATACTCTTTATACTGATTGGAAACGGCATAAAACCTTCATTCTGATGTCAAAAATGAGCTACATTGGACATTTTGAAAGTAGTAAATCGGTAAAATATCAGTCTCCGCCAGCCTGTAAATGGTCTCAAGCATATGGCTTTAGCCCTGGCTTCATGGATAATTAGTACGATATATAGAATTGTTTTGAACTGTCATAGAAGTTCTAGTTAAGGACGTTCCTCACCAGAATGAGGATTTTCCGAACACGCAATCCAGTTTGACTTAAATAACGATGCTAGACGTAAGATACAATGATAGGATGTAGAAATAACAAGGATTCCTTGATAAAAGTGAACCTTGCTGTAGAAGAGCTAAAATGATTGGATGAAGTCCTGAAAACATTGGAACATATATTTCATTCAATCGTGATTGAACGATAAAACGAACTTTGCTTGATTATGCTATGGTTGGGTGTGTGGATGTGGGTGTGGGCGCTGGTGTAAGTGAAAGTATGGGTATTGGTGTTGGCGTCCTCTTCAGCTACGCTCACACCCTAGGTGTAAAAGCAAATTTAAGTTTACTTTGCAGTTGAAGTTTTTATACTCATTCATCTGCAATACTTATCAACATTCGTCTCGATAGACAAAGAAGATAAACGATTTTTTTTTTCGTTTGTTTTTGTTATTTCTCATGTGATACATATGTTTCTTGCTTCTTCTTATATTAATTATTACTTCATTAACCTATATTCTCTCGTATTCTTGGTTTTATTCATGCTTTTCATGTCACTGTTCGACTTTGTTACTTCTTTCGTTAGCTATTGACGGAACATATATCTACCTTGTTTTCTTTTTTCTTTAACTGAATCATTAATTATTTAATGTCAGTTATTCGCTATAAATCGATGAGCAACTCTTAATAACGTGATCTACACAACAAAAAAAGAACTATCCACTATTTTGTCACATGACTGTCACTAATGATGTGAATAGAGAGAATTTCTTATCGGATAAAGACTTATTTTTTAAGAAAACCAATGTCTCTTAGATCTGACTACCTTCAGAACATTCATACAGGCAGCTAAACAAAAACAAATAGGAAAAATTGATTTCTCAAGCGATGATTAATAAAACTATGGGCAATTTTTTTTTCATTCTCAAATGAAAATCGTTCATCGAGATTTTCAATGTAATAGACTAACCTCATTTTGAATAACAATTCTACAAGTGTATCGAAGGATGTTCATTGTCTATCATTGATTCTTCCTTAACATTATCATCTTTTGTTAAATCAATAATTTCTATATTTGTTTTCGAAGTCATAACATGATACATAGCTGAAAAATCTTGAAAAAAAAAATTATTCTTTCTGTCAACAGTTTCCCAATTTACTTTAAATAATGAAGTTAATTATTTGATTTAATTCAAAGCAGCTATACAATTATATATCTTTACAGTACAAAAAAAAACTAATTTGATTTAATAGATATTGATCAATCGAAGAAATCGAATTTTAATTTTGAATTGAATTTAATATCACCTGATGGAATTTTGAAGAAAATTAAATAGCTAAAATATTTGATGAAAAATACTGGAATAACACAAGTATAATCTATGTGTAAAAATATCATTATTTTTACTATTATAAGAAAACAAATAAATAAGTAGAAAGAAACAATCCTTCTCAGAATGTTAAAAATTTGAACTGGTGCACTGTGTACACTAGGTATCGACATACATCGATTGTGTCAAACATTCGATATAAGCCTCGACGTTCAATGCTAACTGTATCAATAAAATTCTTCACAGTCGTACAATGATTAGACTTTTCAGTTTATCTTGTTTGTAATACATGGTTCGTATGTAAAGGTATGTGAAAAGATAGTATCCAATATATTTTTAAAATGATGAAAGGTTTTGAAAAGAAGAGATGTAAAGTAAAAACAAGAAAAAGAAAAATCACACTCATGGAAATTGAAATTTTTCGAATCAGCAAGTGTAAACACTAAATTCTTTCTCAGTATTTTCATGATATTGATGAAATGCACTATTTTGAAACAGTAATTTCAAATAATGGATCAAATGTCGTACTGTCTTTCATAAGGAAAAAAATAAGGCGAGAATCGACATGATAAGCAATGAGAACTCATCAGTTTTTGATATACAGAAGAATATGTCGATATTTTTCTTCATGTACATGAAAAGGGTATGAGTGTGAGTGTTGAAGGAAGAGACACCCACACCCACAGCTACACCATTGAAATGATCTGTAAAGAATAGAATGCATGATAAATACGACTTGATAAAAATTTTAAAAAAAGAAACAGCCACAATTTGTTATTCAATCAAGATGATCAAGACTGACAATGTCACTCTTTTTGCACCTAAAGTATTCGTATGTGCAGAGTATTGAGCATGCAGCACAAATATGCCACAAAGCATGTAGTTGAAACCAAGATTTAGGCCAACAAATAATTTTTGTTGCATCCAAATGTCCACAAAGTCCACCT